AAAAATTCAAACTTTTTATCAAAATTATCAAAATTCTGACTTTTTCTCAAAATCCTGACTTTTTTACAAAATTCTGACTTTTTTACAAAATTCTGACTTTTTCTGAAAATCTCAAAATTCTGACGTTTTCTAAAAATTCTGACTTTATCTCAAAATCTCAAAATTCTGACTTTTTATCAAAATCTCAAAATTCTGACTTTTTATCAAAATTTCAAAATGTTTACTTTTTATCAAAATCTCAATTCAATTTTTTTATCAAAATCAAAAAATTATCAAAATCCTGACTTTATCTTAAAATCCTGACTTTATCTCAATTTTTCGCAAAATCTCAAAATTCTAACTTTTTCTCAAAATCTCAAAATTCTGACTTTTTCTGAATACTTAAATGTTAATAATCCCTGGTCCCCGGTTTGAGCTTCAATCTCAGGATCCATGTATTTGATATCCAAGAGAGAGGGAGTTCCACAGTCACAAGATGGAGGAATAGAAAGCAGTATTCAATGTTTACTTCAGATTAGCTCCACGTCAGAAATGATCATGCTTGTCATATGTCTATCTCCATAGAGGCTGAACCATCATGTTAAAAATAATGTATATTTAATTGATTTCTCTCTCCTCAGACGAACCCCCCTGGTATCCTCGCTCTGCTGGATGAGGAGTGCTGGTTCCCCAAAGCCACCGACAAAACCTTTATTGACAAAGTGCAGCAGGAGCAGGGCACACACACCAAGTTCCAGAAACCTCGTCAACTCAAGGACAAAGCCGACTTCTGCGTCATTCACTACGCAGGGAAGGTACGTACTCCAGACTCATTCTGAACAACTAGCTTAACATTGTTTGCGTTAGCCGGTATTTTAGTCTATTTGTCCTATTGGGAACCAGAAATGTTGACTTCCATAAATGTTGTGTTAGAAATGTAGAATAAGGACCCCGTCATTAAGACTTTACCAAATGCTTACTTGCATGTTGGCTATTAGCATATTTAGCTAAATTAGCACAAGTTGCGTTGATTAGCATTCATTAGCATCATCGCCTGTATGGACAATAGATTTAAAGACAACATTTTTTGGCCAATTTGGACAATATTGGACTGGTTTGGGTTTGTTTTGTGGGTGCTGAATCCATTTCAGACATTTACAGAATGCAAAATAGCAGTTTGAACTAGAAAATTGCCATATTTGTACTCCCAGTGTGCCAATTTGATGAATTTGAGTCGATTTTGAAGTTTTAGTGCACCTGGATTGATTGGATTGGACAGATTGCTCATGTATTATTTTGTACTCAACTATGTCTACAAGATGTTACAACAAACATATACAAGTAATGCAAAAATACAAGGGCAAAACTGTTTAATTGAGGTTGTTTCTGGCCATTTGGAAGCCCTTTCTCCGAGGCACAGATATATAGCTCCTCTGCGGGCTCTGTAACAGGTCACTGCCTGAAAACAAAAGCCCAGTTGTGGTACTGCTGCTGAAGGAAAACCACATCTGGTTCACATTGGGGTGAAATTGCCTCTATAGTGCCATGTGGCTGCATAACAACGGTTTTCAACTTTCACCCTTTTTGCGGTGGTCTGCCATCTGCAAAGAGGACGAAGCTGATATCATCCCAAGAGAGATGGATTAATTAGGTCTCTTTTTACCTCGTTTTCTAAATGAACAAAGCAAAGAGCGTCGTGTCCAAACATCTGGACCTGAGTCTTGCTTTGACAAACAGGTGAAAAAAACCTCAAATTCGGCTCAATATCAAGAATCCAGTCCTCAAAACTCAAGCCGGCATTAACTCTGTACTTCATCAAATAAACCCCGCATGACTGAGTGATACCGAGGGGGAAAATAACAGCAAACACCAGTGAGTTTGCTTTTCCAGGATTCTGATGAAACCCATATGGAGATCCAACATTCCTCCGCTCAGGTTGCAAACCGTGTCCATTACTTATTATGTCTCGATCTAATCCAACACTCTTCATAGTACGTCTGAAAAATACGTCCAAGAAAAAGCCATCATCATGTTACAGAGACTAATTCAATCAACACCTTATGGTCCAGTTAGACAGTACTGGGCTGTCAGTCAAATGTAACGTGGAAATAATATGAAGTCTGTAAATTCAGCACCGCTAAGCTAAAGGTGGTTATTGTTGGGCTATAAAGGAACTACAGCACGGTCACAGGACTTCACGTCACCACCGCTAAGCTAAAGGTGGCTAATGTTGGGCTATAAAGGAACTACAGCACGGTCACATGACTTCACGTCACCACCGCTAAGCTAAAGGCGGCTATTGTTGGGTTATAAAGGAACTACAGCACGGTCACATGACTTCACGTCACCACCGCTAAGCTAAAGGTGGCTAATGTTGGGCTATAAAGGAACTACAGCACGGTCACATGACTTCACATCACCACCGCTAAGCTAAAGGTGACTAATTTTGGGCGTGATGACGTTTAGTCTTCTAATTTAGACACTTGTTTATAAATCCACCTGTGGGGTATTTACTGACGTATTTTATGTCATGAAACCAAACGTACCCCAATAAAACACTTATTATTAAGATAAGATATAACCCAAAGATGGTTCGGACCGTGTCGGTATTTAGTTTCACAGATTTTCTGAACTTTCTACCTCTCTTTTTATATTTACTAAACCACGTAGCACATTCAGCACATCTGGTCCTGCCTGTGGGATCAAAGCTAGCTGTAAGACTCACTGCTGCAATTAATCTGCTGAAAGCCCCCCCTGTAATAACTGTGTGTTTCTGCAGGTGGATTATAAAGCGGATGAATGGCTGATGAAGAACATGGATCCTCTGAACGACAACGTGGCCACGCTGCTGCACCAGTCGACGGACAAGTTTGTGGGAGAGCTCTGGAAAGATGGTGAGACTCATCGAGTTTTTAATCGTACAAAAGTATATTCTGCAGTATGCATTAACACGGTATAGCTACAGAGTGCTGCAGTGATGGTGCATGCAGGTGTGAATGCGTAATCTATACATTTAAAACACTAACCATAAAGGCAAAAAAATATGTGCACATTTTAAATAACTGGAAATTACACACAGATCTGCAAATATTAATAAAATATATACAAATAAAATGCAATACTACACATTAGAACATAGATTATGGTCTGTTCACACAAATAATATTGAGACAAATCTATACACCATTAGTTTATAACCCAACACTGGCTTAAATAATAACAATGCTTTTATAATATGCATGCATTATTGATTTACTCCTTTAATCAATGCAAGTGTGTGTGTGTGTGTGTGTGTGTGTGTGTTTCCTTTCTCTCTCTGTGTATGGATGATGTGTGTGTACGTGTGTGTGTATGGATGATGTGTGTTTGTACGTGTGTGTGTGTGTGTGTGTGTGTGTGTGTGTGTGTGTGTGTGTGTGTGTGTGTGTGTGTGTGTGTGTGTGTGCGATGGA